AGGCTAAAAATTAGGAAAACAGACTTTCAATGTAAAAGATTTCAAATTTCCTCTGTGTATAGGCTCAGAGAAAGAACTAACAGAGGGGAGAATTAAGGGGGACAGTTACAGCAGTGAAAACCACAGCGACAGCACCAAAAGTTATTATTATGCCCTCAGCAACATGTTCTTAATGCTCAGCCTTTCTAGTGAGTTTTCCCAGCCCACAGAACTCCAGCAGGTGGAATCTAGGAGGAAAGAGGCTGCAGTTCACGCCAGCTGCTCCAGCATTTTTGATGTGGTGTAAACTGCTCTTGGGACTAGCCGTTGTGTCCCAGCACCTGCGAGGAATGAGCGGTCCAAGAAGTCTTTTTGATCAAGCATCCCCCAGTTTTGGTACTAAAACTGTCAGCAAATAATCATTGGACTTAATAATAAGCTAACCATAGCTCCAACACCAAAGAACATTTTAAGTGGCATGCCAGGAGTAAAAAGAAAACCTTCCAACTCACAAATGTCAATTATATCTAGACAATTGCGGGGGGTGGGGAGGTGGGAAGGGGAGACAGGGGCAATATCCCCCTGAGAGTCTGCAAGCTATATTCTCACACCTTCTTGTTGCCTGTGATGTGACCATACCTGCACTTTATATTTTCTGAGATATATTAATTTCTTGATAATTTTTCTTAATTGCTAGCTCATCAGAGCCAGTGTCAAGTTTCCCATTCCTCCTGTACAGCTGTGATTCTCAGCCCTGGCTTTTGCCTGGGGTCACCTTGGGAGCTTTACAAAACACAGTTCGTATTCTGAAATTGACCAAAAGACCATTGAGACCATATGAAAGTGAAGGGGAGGCTGAGACAAGTGTCAACAGAGAGGGCCATACAAACACACTTAACCTCAGGGGGTCTTCAGAAGAGCTTTAAATCTAGCTGACTCAAGTCTGGTTGCTCAGGGGTTCTGGGGCATGGTCTAGACATAATGTTGATCGTGATATGGAAAGCTATAGTCAAGCAGGCACCCCACAGCAGTAGGCTGACTCTGGGTTATCACTCTCTCTCAGCCCTGGATCCCTCACCCAAGGGAGAGGCTGCAATTGGAAGGGGACCAGAATGGGACCCTCCAAAACAGTGATTCTCAAATTTGGATGTGCATAAGAATCACCTGCAGAGATTAAAATTCGGATTGCTGGGTTTCACTCAGCATTGCTAGGCCTATGGTAGAGCCTAAGAATTTGCATTTCTAACAAGTTCCAAGATATTGCCAGTACTATGGTAGACCTCACTTTGAGAAATACTGCTTTAAAGCCTGAGACCCAGGACAGGCCAGCACTGTCCTGGTCTAGAAGGGGTACACCAGATTTCAATAGCATTCTTTCGTGCCCTTCGTAAGAAGGAATAGAACACTGTCCTGAGATGAGCTGCGATTTATTTCCATGCTTTTATAAAAGTGTGAAAACTGTCTAAGTGATTACGGCCTGAGTTTAAGAATAGATACGCATTTGGGTTGTTTGTTCCTAATATCTTTGCATTAGAAATTGGTAATATTTAAATCGGATTTAATTTCAGAGCCCCAGCCTTCACTAGCATAAGACTAAAATCAGTGACCACAATATCTATGAAAATCACTTAGTGTTTCAGGATTCTGGGCTGGAAATTGCTCTCTCCAGTAGTAAACTACCTGTACCTACACTGAACAAGAGAAGGTCAAAGACACAGGATCTCAAGTATAGCAATCAGGCATCTAGATGTGGTTGGCAGGAGACCCTGGCATGCAAAAGTGGCTTGGCCCAGAGGTTGCAGATATATGGCCAGGGAACCCTTTGTGGTCGGTCTAGAGCTGATCCTCCAAGAAGGCAGGTCTGCCTAGGAGTTGTGGAATGTTTGATTTAGATCAACATTCTCTCTCCTTCTAATCAGCTGGATTGGAGGCCATCCTGCCTTACAGTGGAATATATAGAATATTTTCAAAGAGAGTCACTCCTACTTCCCTGATTGTCCCAAAGATTAAAGTGTAGGCCTTTTGTGTCACATAGGAAGGTACAGTCAGCAGACAGGTCACAGCAGTGAGCTCTGCAGGCTCATAAGTACCTGCTACTGTATAAGGCCCATCACATACCTTTCTCACCCTCCACCAAGACTCCCTCTTAAGCCATGTTGGACTTCTGGGGCTCTGTGATGCCTTTCCCTTTTTCCCTGATGCTCTCCTATTCATCCTTAAGAACCCTGCTAAAATGTTCCTTCCTCTATGAACATATGTCTCTGGCTAATCTGGCCAAATAAAACAAACTCCTCCCTCCACTATGTTTTCCATATCATGTCAGATATCTATCATACTTAACATATTGTGCTTTAAATGCTGTTCACGTGTTTGCTTTCCTTACCTCTAGCTTACTTGCTCTTGGAAGTTGAGCTGTGTCTCATTCTTCTTTGCTTCCCTAGCACTTAGCACAGTGGCTGGTGCAGCGCCTCCAAGTTTAGTGTTTAATTAATGAAATAAATAAATTCCAGTGTTTGGACAGGCAGGAAAGCATTCCTTAAGCACTCAGTAAGGATGCAGGCTGGAAACACTAATGCCCATAGAATCACAGGCGATCAGAGCTGGAGGAGACCTTAGCTGTCATCCCTGCTGGCTCCTCATTCTACGGAGAAGCCTCAGATACGTTTAAAGACACTTGGCAACTTAGCCACAAATAAGAGCAAAATGGGCCAGGACACAGCTCTGTAGATTCCAATCTGGTGATCAGTCGGGTTCGTCCAAACACCCAGCTGAAGGGTTTGTGGACCAGATACTCTTCCCATGAGTGATGCGACAAGACCCTAGAATACTCACCTCTTGCCGTGGGGAACCTGCTATCCTCCCCCTCCTGTGCTCAATCCAACCCTGAGGGAGCCTGAAAATGGTCTTTGCTACAGAATCTAACTTTTCTTTAGGGTGTTTGAGTAAGTGTTCATCTCTAGGCCTGAACCCCAGTTGAGTACGTGACGGTTTTTCTGGTACTTCTAGAGGAAAAATGATATTCTGAGTAAAGTGGGTCAGAAAGAGGAATAGTAACATCTCAGTCCTTAATTTCATGACTTCTAACAGCAGGAAAACCACCCAAGGCCCTTTCTACTTCCTTGCCCTCCAGCTCCTCTGTGTGATCAGGGCCTTGGGGGCCATGGTGGCTTCACTGACATTTGCTTCCATAGCACAAGATGAGAGGGGGTGTTGCAGGAAGATGGGGGGGTGGGGGTAGCCCCCCACTGGGAAGAGGCATGATGGGAAAAGGGGTTTGGGAGTTGAAAAGACAATCTAGACAGGAAGGATAAAGATGTCATTCTACAACATTTGTGGTGGGAGAGCTACCCCACCCTATGACAAGTTCTGCAATAGACATAACCATTCATTCATTCATTCATTCACAAAAAATGTCACATAACCATCTAGCTTAAAGCCTTCCACTCCCTTCCCACTGCCCATAGGGTAAAACCATAGTTCCTCCCTACATCCTTCTACCTCTCCAACTCATTTCTTTGGTCTCTTCCCTACATGCTCAGCATCTTTGACTTGTTTCTACCCCAGAGCCTTTGCACTTGCTGTTCCTACTGCCTGGAATGCTCTCTCCCCCATTCCTTCTCATCCTTCAGATATCAACTTGAAGGCCACTTCCTCGGAGAACTCTCCACTGAGCACCCTGTCTACAATGGCCCCTCACTACACCCTGCTATCACCCTCTATCCTCATACTCTGCTTACCTGCAGGGCATGTAAAGAATCTGAAGATGTTTATTCACACAAGACTATAAATTCCACAAGAGCAGAGACCTTGTTGATCTTATTCACTGCTGGGTCCCTAGCACCTAGGATAGTACTTGGCACATAGTAGAAATATGTGCTCAGGAAATGTTGTTGAATGAATGAATGAAACACCTACATATACGAGGTTTATAGAAGTGAAAGAACAGACACCTACCATTGCTTCTAGGAACTACAACCTAAAATTGAATAGAATTTTTTTCCTCATTGCATCAGCTCCCTAGCTCCTGATTCGTAAAATGTGACTTTCCTAAAATCTGAACTCTGAGATTGGCATCCTAGTTCTGTAACAGCTCTCTGTTATCTATCAAGTGATCAGGTTGCGTTCTTTGCCACCATGACTTGTTCTAGATTCTCATCAAAACGCCAATGTGTTCCCAATTGTCAGGACTTTTTCTTCTGAGTAATTTACCTTAGTTACGCTGGTCCAGAGTTGGGTCTACTGTATCTGAGGGTATAATGTACCCAGAATTATTCCAGAAATGGAATAATTCCATTTCAATCCTGGATTAGGGGCCTGCTAGAGCAGGACTCTGATGTGGGACTAGAAGCACCGACACTGCGTGTAAGATCAGCCATAGACTGTGTCCAGGCAGAAACCAAGAGCTCTGGCACAAGAGTGAGAGGCAGGTGCTGCCGCAGGTCTGTGCAAGTTCAGGCCCCTGGCAGTTTTGGTAGCTGAGCTCTGTCTTCTCCTTTGGTCCTGACGCTGGCAAAGTCCGAACACTCAAGAGAACGGGGTTTGGGACTTCCCTGGTGGCGCAGTGGTTAAGAATCCACCTGCCAATGCAGGGGACATGGATTCGAGCCCTGGCCCAGGAAGATCCCACATGCCGTGGAGCAACTAAGCTCGTGTGCCACGACTACTGAGCCTGTGCTCTAGAGCCCACGAGCCACAACTACTGAGCCCACGTGCCACAACTACTGAGCCCGCGTGCCTAGAGCCTGTACTCCACAACAAGAGAAGCCACCGCAGTAAGAAGCCCACGCACCACAACAAAGAGTAGCCCCCGCTCGCCACAGCTAGAGAAAGCCCGCGCGTAGCAACAAAGACCCAATGCAACCAAAATAAGTAAATTAATTAATTGATTTAAAAAATAAGAAAGAAAACAGGGTTTGTTGTGTTGGCACCTCCCTCCCCTCCTGCTCGGGACACAGCTACCCGTCTACTAGAGAACGTGGTGAAGAGCCGATCTAATGCCAGCTCTCTCCTCCCACAGAGTCCTGGCCCGGGGTCGTGCAGTCCAAGGGGCTGGATGGCATGCTGGACCCAAGCTCAGCTCAGCGTCTGGGCCCAATAACAGCTTTTCCGAGGGAGCAGCTTTCTGTCCTGGCCACACTGAGGTAAGCACCCGAGAGGCATCTGTCTCACCAAGGTTCCTAGCTCTAGAGCTGCCAGGACAATTGGAAATGAGCCCCAGGCTGAGGATGGGGCATCGGTGCCAGCCGTCAATCAGCAGGGACCCGGGTGGCTCCTAGTGACCCAGCACATGTGGCCCTCCTAGCTCATCTGGAGAGGACATCGCCCATGCTCTCAGGCTGGCCCCATGGCTTCCAAGGACACGATAAGAGTCTGAGCCACACACCTCTAAAGGAACAGAACACAGGGTCTCAAATAGACAGTGCCAGTCAGACCCTCCACACAGCTCCTGGTCTGTCTGAGCAGGTGATCTTATGAGACTGAAGGTTCCTGATCACTCTTCATGCCCTTGGCCGTGGAGTGGAGGGTGGGGAGAGCTCCAGGTCTGAAGACAGGGATGAGTTCCACTTCCACCAGGCTTCTGCCTGTGGTCAAGTTATTTACTATTACTGTCTCTGTTTCCTCTTTCGTAAAATGGGAAGGATAAGACCCACCTGCTAGGTTTGTTGTGATGGGTAATGAGACAATTAAATTGATTGTGATGTAATTATGATCTCTCCTCATTCATTTTAAGATGTGTCTCTAAGAATTCAGACCAGTAGATTCTGTTTCCATTCCATCCTGGAGTAGACAATAAATCCACAGGTGCCTGCACCTGCTAGTGCTTTCTGGCTGCATATTTCTGTCGTGGGCATTTTAAGTGCTCCTGGATCAAGTCTGCATGATGTCTAGAAACCCGATAAACATGATATAAAACAATTAAATGTCCAACTATTCCCTGGCATCTGGATTTATGGCTTCAGGACGGTAAAACTCACAACCTGTTGAACAGAATTTTCATTTTGATGTTGGAGGCTGAGTAAACGCAGCCCAGGGCCCATCAATTACAGTCCGTGTGTGGCCTCAGGCCTCTCGCCTCTAGAGCAGCTGAGGCTGAGCAATGCCAAGCGCCCACATGCAGAGCCTGCCACTCACTAGCTGCATAACCCCAGGTCGCTGAGCCTCTCCAAGGCCCATTTCTCTCCTCTCTAAGGTTCAAGGATTGGACTCGATGAGTGGTTCTCAAAATGTGGTCCCCAAACCAGCAGCATCAGTATCACCTGGGAACTTGTGGGCAATGCAGATTTTCGGGCCCCACCCCAGACCTACTGAATCAGAAATTCTGGGGGTGGGCTCGGCAGTCTGTGGTTTAACAAGCCCTCCAGGTGACTCTAATGCACTGAACCTCTGGCCTTGATCAACTCTGACGTCCCTTCCAGTTCATGCTTCCCCATAATAAATTCAGCCTGGGAGATGCTTGCAGAGGAGCTGGAGTTTATTCTGTCAGTGCCTTTCTGTGCTGCAGCCTCAGGGATTTCTCCCTGGGAAGCTCACTCCACGCAGGCCCCAATACCCAACTGAGTCCCAGGCTGAAGACAGCAGGCAGTTTACGTTGCAAGTGGAGGCCAAGTGTAAAACAAGAAACGATTCCTGACCCGCACTCGTAATGTGGCAAGTGAGATGGAGGAGGAGGCTGGATTTCCTCGGGCACCAGGATTTCCTCTCCTGCTAACGCTTAGTGACCGTGGTTCGCTGATCTAATCTCTAGCCTGAGAATCACTAACAGCTCTCTCTCTCTCTCTCTCTCTCGACACTCCTCCCGCGAAGGCAGGAATTCTCTCTCTCCCTCTACAATGCACCTCCAAAGGCACGGTTGCTGGGCCCCCCAGCGCCATCAGCTGTCCTGGCCACAGAGGTGGACCAGTTGTTTAGCTCTGCCCAGCAGCTTCATCACCTACTCAGGTGAGGCCAGAACCTGTGTGAAATCATTCACCTGGTGCAGGAAACTCCTCTTATTACTGGAGTGTGTGAACCACTGGAAAGCCACAGAATGTACCTTCGGCCTGGGAGAGGGTGAAGAAAGCTGGGCGGGCGGACCTTGAGTAGATGGATAAAAGGCCCCTGACGGGGGGCTTCCCTGGTGGCGCAGTGCTTGAGAGTCCGCCTGCCGATGCAGGAGACGCGGGGTCGTG